AACTTTGATGTACTTTACGAATAAAACATTAGAAATTAAAACATAATGAAGGATTTTGATGAGCCACTGTGGTTACATTAAGTTTTAATTAAACATAAAACGCGTTATTATCACATCTATATACTGCATAATAAAAGTACTTTACAGAAAATATATGTATTCTTAATTATAAACAAATAGGTATACCGTCCTTTGAAAAGTACTTTCGAACAACACCCGTCCATTCTAACCGATGCAGCGTATATTTTATAATATTATAATGTAAAATGTTTCCATTTTATTTCATCTAACGGAGCTACATTCCCAAAGCACTAAAACTAAATATCAAAACGATCAATGTTTAAATTTTCTCAATATTAATCTTAACAAAATATGTTTGGACGTAATATACTATGGAAAATTAATTACGTTACTAATATTTTCGATTATAAAATTTAAATTTACATTTAAAAACGGAATTTCATTTTATAACATTAGGTTGTTAGCAAATCTCATTTTTAATGCTTTAATAAAAATATCTTGTAGCGTGAATATAGTAAATTTATATACAGAATCAATCATAAATTATATTATGAAATCTAATAGAAATTTCTTTGTTGGGAATTATATTTTAAATCTTTAAAGTTTTACCTGATTTTCAAACATATTATCTTTTTTTATTTAACTATTTTTTTATTGATTGTTACAATTAAAAATTTCTAGCTTAATTTTTCACTCTCTGGTCCTTGAAGTACATGTTTTCTCATATTTGTATTGCCATTATTGGATTTGATGTGTAAGACACCAATAAGTTGCATAGAAAAACTGGTTTTCCGGTATAGACAGTATTATAGTATTTGCATTTTTGGTACACGATCAAGAGAATGACTAATTTAACTTTTTTTACCGTAGACGTTTATTTCAGAACTGTTATATCACTATTATTAATTAAAAATCAATACAATATTGACTGAGCCCGGTATTTTTGTATATATTTCAAAAAAATTCTAAAATCAATTGTACTTTTTACGTTGTGCAAGTGCAAATAGTTGACGTGTTACAATATTATTTTAAATTATACATTTGTGATGTGAACCAATGAGACTTAATAAAAAATTACAAATTTGTGAATACTCTCGTGACACATTGAGTTAATTAAATCGTATCCACGAACATCAAAATTAATTCATATATTATATAATTATGATTCAATTATTATACAACGCTGAGATATTTAAAATGATTTTGTGATGGTGGTATATAAATCTAAATGAGTTTAATTTATCTGTAATTCACAAAATTATATTAATTTACAGAAACAAATCGTGTGATCTTTTTAAATCTTATTTGAGCAATAGGTAATGATATTTAAACGTAATCATTAAGTTTTTATTATAAAATTTAAGTCTTCTATACTTAGTTATTTTTGTATGAATTAAAAACATGATAATAAAATATGTATCATATAAAATGATTTCATAATATTATTTATCAGTGCTCAATACTTATAAGTAGTGAAGATACCTAGGTTTATAGAAAAACAATGCAGCTCTATATATTAAAACAAAATATAAAATTTCCTTTAAATAAAACAAATAAGCAATAAAAATCGTTTAAATAAATCACTTACTTGAACACGATGGGAATATAAAACAAAAATAATATATTTTATTTACACAATGTTTTATCTGAAGAATTAGAACGAAAAATCGAGTCTTAAAATAATTTTTATTGACATTTGAGAAATATTGTTAAAATAGTAAATATAGAAACTAAAAAGAGAATTTAATAAAAATGCGACGTATTTACACTATATTATTCTACAGTAAAAAAATCAAACAATTGTGTTCACATGTTATATTGTTTATACGTAAATATTAGTGAATGAAACATTTTACCAGTAGTAATATGAAATAAAAATAATTTAACCATAAAATGAAGGTACTTATACTTACTAAAAAGAAAAAAAAACGATATTTCTTTTATTGTATTTGATTTTAAGTACTAAAAAAATAAAAAATATAAAAAAGAAACTTAGATGCTTATTGAACTGATACACAGTACTTATCTTATATAGCTGATTTGAATTAATCATTACAGATATTGCACTTTTGATTATAAATATATATTACAGTGTGTATTTTAAGAATAAAGAATAAACATTAAGAGATTGTGTAACTAAAATTTATCAGCAAAGTGCTGCCTCGGTGTTTTACTAAAAAGAAAAGTCTCCACAAACTATAAATTAAAGTCGTTTAATATTGTTCTTTGCAACTCGTATTTTTCGTTGGAAACAATTCGAAAGAGAATTTTTGAAACTATGGTCCATAAGTCGTGTTGTCCTTTTTCAATTTCTTTTTTTTTTTTATAACAATTGTAGCGTTCAACATTATACTTTGCAAGCACTTATATTGTGTACAACGTACCGTAATTGATTTATGTAAGTCTCGCGAGCCAAAAATACCGAATTTATAAAAGTGTTTTTTCATCAACGATCATATATTTCTATTTAAAAAAGAATAGTAAAAACTGGGAGGATTTGTTGCAGTAATGATATGCGTCATCATGATGTTTCGTTGAACAAAACTAAAATAATAATACCAACAAAACGTGGATAAACACATCGAATAAATCATACAAGAAGGGTGCAATAATTAGTTGTATAATTACTTGTATTTCGAAATAAAAATCATTAAACCGAATCCTGATGAATTCCGATGTATTGCAGTTTTGGTACTTCCCAATATTCCGGAAGCGCGCGTGAAGGTGACTCTTTACACTTTATCGTGATTCATGACTTTTGTCAAAATATCATTTTTTAAATTTATAACTCATATTTATAATTCTTTTAATGTGTAGATCAAAGCGATTTTATTGATATACTGAATAGTAAATGCATAATTGGTTTAGCATAATATGACCTGAGCTGGATTTGTTCTAAATTCTGGTACATGCAATGTATATGGTATTTACTTATTAACATTCTCGTATACCACTTAAAAAACCACAAAATTTACCCAATCATAACGTCAATTTTTTTTCTTTTGTAATTTACTATTGAAGTTTTACGATTGTCACTGCAATCAAGCTATCACGAAGTCGCCTTCAATTCATGTTATGCAAAACTATATTAAAAGCTCTAAACTCGTGTATGCATACAATCGTGATTTAAGCTCTGACAATGGGATCAATGCAGTATACTTTGTATATCGTATAATAATAGGGAGAACTGCGTGATATTTTCTGTCGCTCAGACACTCCTCAATCGTAAGAAAATTTCATTCGTACTACTGGCCGTTTTTTATGTTTTCCGCGAACTGTTTGGTTATTGACATCATAAATAAAATCGTTATTGCATCATCGACCGTGGATTGTTAGTACCTACTAATAAGTCATAATACGAGTATAGTCATATTCAGTCGTGGATGAACATTCTAGAAAAACGATTCTTGTACGAATATTTGCGAACCTTACATCATCACCAAAGTGATCACAATGTGCTGTCCGACAAAACGTATAAACCGTCCATTACCGAATGAGATTAAAAGGGGCAAAAGCACACATAATTTAAAACTAATTGTAAATACGTTTATATTTCGTGTGTAAATACACGGCGTATACAATTAAATAAGAACTATAAATTATTATCATCGTGAATCATTATCTTTGTTTTTTTAAACGTATGGTAGATTTGCAGTAGTATGTAATTTTAATTGATAACTTGTTGTTGAGTAAAGTGTGAAAAGTAAAATTTTCGCGTAACAGCTGATGTCATAATAACGAAGAATTTAAATGTTTATTATTTATCACTCAATGACTTACACACCAAAAATATGACTTTGTACAAACATAGTAACTATTTAACCGTAGTCAAAAACTAAAAACAGCATAAACCTTTAAACGAATAATGATAAACAAATATTGTTTACCCCTGCAGTAGTTTGGTACAAGACTACGTAACAAATTATGAAAATATGAACTCGTAGCTAGACTAAATAACTAATATTTAATAATGCGATATTATATTTTGTATTAGATGGAATTCTTTGTGGCAGGGTTCTCATATTATACAATAATATTAAAATATATTTTAACAGTTGACCTAAAAAATGCATATACTTGAATAGTTGAATGTACTTAAATTAGAGAAGTGTTAACTGTTGATATAAGCAAAAAAATATGAACCTCTGTAGGTACCTACTACTTAGTTAATGAATAATATGTATTAAATTAGTTTAATCAATCATTGTGTATGTATAACACTTGATATGAAAAACTTAGAAAAACAAATGTGAATAACATATACAGTATACACATAAATATTTTTGTAAAAAAGTAAATTTGATGGGCACCTTTTTTACCGCCAAGTATTCTTCTTTTGCCTCCCTCAACAGTAGCCCCGGTTGTGTACATGTAACCTTAACATAAAATGAAAAGAGACCGTCGGAAGTGCGCTCCTGACCAAATACGCGTCGCTTTGCACCGACCGTATGTCTGTGCGTTCCGAGTAGATCAGCGCGAACTCGAAAACCGGAAGAAGACTCCGGAGACCCAAACGAAAGAGTATTTACGTCTCTTTAGGTACATGCTTGTATCACGGCACATAATAATATTATTCGGATATGCACAACGTCGACCAGAGAGCGCACTTAAAGCGAATCCTGCAGTGGAGGAGGCTCCACGGGGCACTCCCACTAAACCCCGAGCGCCGCTTACGCGTGTACGTACCGCCGCCGAGTACTACCGTCGCCGCCGCCGCCACCTGCATAGCCACCGCCGCCACCACTTCATCTGACAACCTGCGACTACGGCAGCGGCGGCGGCGGCGTCGTCGGTCACTGAACTATCAACAGCACTCGCATGCACGCACACGCTTACACGGCGGCCGGAACGTAGTCGTATTATAGTGTGTTTTTGTTGTAGTATCTCTGTATCTAGTAGTATTGGTATTAGTATTAGTAGTAGTAGTAGTATATAGTAGTAGTTGTAGTAGTAGTAGTAGTAGTAGTCGTAGTCGTCGTCGTAGTAGCTTACCTGCCGCGGTCGTCGTCGTCGTCTTCTGCGCGCGTACCATCGCCGGCCGGCCGACGTGTCCGTGTGAGACATCAGTGCTCCAGTGCAGCAGTCATCGCGGGTACGCGCACGTGCACAGAACGCATACATAATAAACATACATTTATAATACATTTTATAAATAGTCGATTCGGCCGCGCGTTCGATCGGTCTACGTATTTTTCTGTGTACGCGCGTTTTTCAAAAACAGTATTTCCCTGCAGCCGTCGGCCGAGTTAGAGAGATAGGTTTTGGAATAATTCGCGCGCGCGAATCGCCGTCTCGCGCTTTCCATCCGAAAATATGCGTCTCGCCAATTCGCGCCCCGAAAATCCCACCGTGGTATAACGGTGGCGGTGGCGATGCACCACCACCTGCCGGAGCAGCGTCACCACCGGCATGTTCCACCGTCGCAGTGCCGTCACTTGACGACCGCCGGCCCTCGTCGGGCACCGGCCGCACTCGAACCGCCACCGCCGCCGCCACCGTCGTCGTCGTCGTCGCCGTCGCCGCGGACATCCATTCGAGTCGTCTGTTTTCGCGAACGCGCTACGACATAATAATATCTCACATAATATAACCTACGTTACTACGACGCCGCGTGCGTTATAAACGTATATACGATATATACATATCGTCGCAAAATGGACGTGTTCAAGCTCGACCAGTCGTTAGCGGCGGGGCTGGGCGGCGCGCCGTCCGCCGACAAGCTGACGGCCGACGTGTCGTTTGGCGCCGGCACCACTGACGAGTTCAACCTGAGCTTTTTCGACGACACGACCACGGACACGGCCGGCTCGGAGAGCCACGACCCGCCGGCCCAGGGATTCGGCGACGAGACCTGCACCGCCGCGGCCATGGAAGCGACCGCGTCCACGCCCGCGGCCGCTTTCCGCGACGTCCGCGTCCAGTCCCCGTGCACCAGCTCCACGTACCGGCAGCAGCCAACCGCGTACGCTGGCCACGCGGCAAACTCTCAACCGCCTCCCCCGCCGCTGACGGTCGCCGCCACCGCCAACTCGACGCCGTCCTCGTCTACCACCGCACCAGGTCAGTGTTTCGAACCCGGCGCGCGATTTGCGCCGATTTTTCCGCCCGCGACGCGTCACACGCCTACTTACAGGCACAGTAGTATAACTAGCTACTTAGTACAGTTGTATAGTAGTTGGTTTTTTTTTTTCACGTTTTATCATCACGCGCGTTATATACGTATAGTGATGATGGACATTTGACACGAACAGTTATTTCACGCGCTCTCTGCAGGTAACAGACGAACGCGGTGACACAGGTGGTATATTATATTTTTTTTTCTGTGAATGACTGATTTTGTCGTATCGTTGTAGACTCGTGAACAGCCTTTTAGTCGCACGTCCGCTATACTTAGGCATTCCCTGCAATAGTGGTGATTACCGTCGTATCATTCATTACCTTTCGGCAATCGTATTTTGATTAGTTGATTACTGTACGAAATGTATCACCGCGTACGACTCATGTATGCGGAACAGCACGAGGTCTGTACACTAACGCGTAAACGTGAATTTATGGATTGCCAAGTCCTAAACAAGTTGAATAACCTATAACCACTAGAGGCAAAACATCTAGTGAATAAGTGTTTGGTAAAAAACAAGTATTTTACCGATCAAGGTAATGCGATGATTTCATTGTTACTATCTATTTTTGTCGTTCCATTCATAAACATTATTCGTAGTATTTACAATAACTGTTTAAAATCAATAACATTTTACATTCATTATGATATGGACGTAGGCGAACAAATTCGCAAGTAAAGTTAAAATGACTTCGAAAATTCTGTTCGTCGTAACTCGCTAATCTTTCTATAAATGGCTCCGAAGCCAATCGTAGAATTTCAAACTTTTGGGAAAATTGCTGGCTACACTTTTTTTTCAATTTAGGATCTGCTTATCTGTCAGTGGGCCCGGATGTTTCAGTTTCTGTAGTATCCTCGGGGCCCGGGTTCTCACGCCCCTCTCTCCGTTTAATTTCGACCCTGCAGTATATGTACATACCTACGTATATAGACTACGTGCGTTTACTTCCGATGACCCTGTGCGATACGCCGATACGTTTTGAAATATATAGGTATAATAAATAATAATAATATGTTTGAAATATATCGTTCATACGATTTACGAGGAACTATTATTTAGGCATAATAGATCATTCGGTATTTAAATATTATATAATTTATGTAACTTTCGTGTACATGCAGTGAAAGTATATACGAAAATAATCAATCTTTTCAACTAGTATATCGTAGCCCGCAGGAAGTGATTTTATTTTAATATTTTTGGTGCATATATTATTATATTATAATCTCGTATATAATATGTATGACGCGCGTGTGTGTGTATCGATATGCATAATATAATATTTCTCGCTTAATCGTATTACGTTAAAATACTTTGATCAGGATAGATTATATTTTACATTGTTTATATGAAACCGGTACCTACGCTTTTGATTTGCATCTGACACGCGCTTTATGTTGATTGAATGTGAATACTTTGGTACTCGTATATCATATTCAAATTATAATTATTATACACGTTGGCATACCTACGCAGAACATACTTTTATACTATTAATTATTGATAAATAGAAATAGTATATGAGTATTATTTAAGCGTATTTTGACATCAATGCTATGTTTTAATTTTTTCTCTCTATAAAATCACAGTTTATTGTTTATATACTGTAATCATATTATGTTACGTTAAATTTCGATTTCTGGGTTCAACTGACGATCCGCGATGCAAATATTTGTTATTTATTAGTTTATTGAAAATGCACATTAATTAATATATGCTCTCTACTATAATATTATAGGTTTTTTTTTTATCTATATACTCTCAAAGAATACGAAATAATAATTTATAAAAATATAAAGCTATAAACGAAAAAATTACCACCCTCCTACTTTAAATATATATGACGGGGTTATATATTTTATGCGAACACCGAAGTTTGAGGAGTAAATGCTCAAGCCGATTTGTTCATCAGACCTTGTTAAGGAAACGTCTGTAAAACTTTCATCAAGCACTCTCCGGAATTTATCGTAATTAGTTCGTGTATATATATACAAAGCGGATTAAAAGTTTTCACTAAAAATACTCTGCGAGAAGTTGCACGAAATGTAGTCGGAAATGTTGTAAGACTTCATCGACCGCATAAAATGCAACGTACGCTATACTAAAATAAAAATCGATTTTTTTTCCCACCTTAAAAACAATCTTTCAGCTAGAAAATCGCCGTCGCTCGTCGGCGATAAAAGAAAAAAATGACTTATTAATGTATAAAATCTACCGCGGAAAATAAGTACAAAAATTCAAGGTCACGTAATATAACAACTAAACCATATATACGACATAGTACGTACAGGAAAATCGGATATTACATACATGTAGATACTAATAATACCGGTCGCGTATGATTATCTCGCGCCTGTGCATGTATCGATTATGCGGTTATTTTTTCCTTGCACATTCAGTCATCCTCTACACCTATTATATTCTGTTGATCGATCATCGGCTTGCGATTGGTCAACGTTGTTGATGTTGAAGATCATTCACTTTGCTCGTGTACCGTTACCATGACTAACGCATATGAATACGTACATTCACACACATAGACATATACATATATAACACACACACACACATACACACACGCGCGCATTTATATATATAAATATATATATTAGTTATGCGCCAAGAGAGCACTACCCGCACCTATGCCATTGGTTACCAAAACCGTTCACCGCTGGTCTTGTGCCAAACAATTTTAAACTTGCGTAATTTAATAACATACCTACACCTACTTGGTTTTTTTTTTATTTATTATTTTTTTATCATAGCCTTCCGGGTAAATTTCTTTTAAACGTAATCGAATACAGGGATGTATATATATGTACGTCGTACAATTTTTTTTCAATTAGAATATTTTCATATAATATTAATATATCTATATTGTGTTCTTATGATTTGCATAAATATACCAATTTTAATGTTAGGATTCCGTCAACAGCATTTCGCTAAATAAATATTGCATATAAAATCTTACAAAGCGTATACTTATAACATAATAAAATTATAGGTATGCATACCTAGTACCAATTATAGGCTATATAATATATATGTATATACAGACATATTATAGTTTACCATAGTATCGCAATACCTACATAACGGTTTAAAATTCATCCAAATTCAACTCGTCTTATACCATTGTTGCATTTGTACTGTATATTACTACGGAAATAATATAATAATTTACCATTCGAAACACACGTATGCCAAAAACGTCGTGACTACATATGTGACAGTTGTATTAATTTCTATTATATTTAAATATATATAATATATATTTGTATAATAAACGCTGTATCATTAAATTTGGGGTAATAAAATAATAATTTAAATAAAAATCTCGATTTTTTACAAAAAATCATGAGTAGATATGTAATTCATTTTAAATGATTGTAATTATTGTTCGGTTTTGATTTTTGGATAATTCTTTTAACGGTACCGTACGGATAACAAAAAAATGTAATTACTGAACACATTATTATTTTGTGCCATGGGATTTTGACATTAAAAAGGATAAAGAATATCATAACTATCTTACTGGAGTTTTAAATAATATAGACATTACATTTCTTAATGTAGATTTGTATATTGTGTGTTTGTTTGGCGTATAATTTATTTATTATACTTACTATGATGTTCAATACATTATTTTATTGTACTGCACACGGAAAATATTAAATCAAATGAGAACAATAATAATAATAGTAATAATAAACCATCGTTGCAAGTTTGAACAAAAGTATTTAATTTTTCAACAGAACCAAATGTATTGTAGCTATATCTATACACCTCTACCGTACGCGGTGCGCCGGCTCGCCACTTACAAATCAATATCAAATATATAATAACGTTATCCATGATGCTAATAATATCATATATTATATATATACACTGTAGCACTGATAATAATACCGTAAATACCTACTACGTGAACTTATATAATATTATGTTTTTTTCCGATTTTATATTACATTAACGGTTGTAGAATTGCAATAGGTAATATAAAATAAAATTGATATTGATTGTTTTTGAGAATTGTACTTGCCAGGATCAGCTGTCACACTCTAATATATTATGTAATAAATAAATTAAATTAAAGGTTATTTAGTAAACAATTACTCTTCATTATACTTTTGATAATAAATTTATTCAAATTTTTAAATAATGACTTACCTATATTAGGAGATCATATTTTCATATATTTTATTTTTGTGTTTTATTTAAGAAGTATTTTCCACAGCTTGATATACTTATTTTTTCAAAACAAAACAGCAATTTCAACTATAAATTTATTTATATTTTTTTTACAATTTTAACTTATCTAAATAAAAATTCAAACGAGTAATTTCTAAGTAATAAATTATATCATGTTTTAATTTTAATGATAGTAATTTTACATTTATAATTTATAATAGATGTAATACTTAAAGTATAGTATTTATTATACTTAGATAATATTTACAAATTAAAAAAAAAAACTAGTAAATTAATAATAATTACTATAATTATTTTAAAATTATCAAAGTCTTCGTACTTTTTAAACTTATTATTCTTAATAACTAAAAAATAAAAACTTATATATGCTTTTCATTTGAATTGCAAATTATGTATATAAACAATTTTTTTAAGATTACATGCTTAACTATTTACAGTAAAAATAAAAATGTTTATTTTAGTAAAAAGTTTATATCGCCACATAATTCTCCTTAAATGATATAAACAATTTAATGAAGTAAATATATAGAATCAATACACATTTTGCGAGGGACTTGTGGAGGTTTTGTACTCTTTAATTTTATCTTGAGATTAGGAGAATAAATAAAAGTTAAAAAAATGTATATAACACCTTTATTGGTAATAGATGATATTTTCAGCATACGCTTAAAAGTAGTGGCTTATTTTTAAATTTCTTCCATTTTTTTTTTTTTTTGTGTCAAGAAAATT